GGGGAAGACTTCGGGGTGGTGCGGCCGCTGAGTGGCGCCCGGGGTCGCTACATCATGGGCGGACCCCGCCCCATCCCCTATGCCTGGTGAGGGCGGGGCCGCGGGTGATCGATTCTGAGCCAGCCAGGAACCGGGGTGGATCTGGGGGCGAATCTGGGGGAAACTGCTAAGGGAGAGTTCGGAGGGGCGAGCTGAATGCGGAAAACGGGGACATGTAAATTGGTCGGGTCTGGAAGGACTTGAAAAGCATGACTTCTGAGTGGGAGCCGAGGCTGGGGTGCTCAATGGAAGGTGGGAGCTCTGAGGGGTGCAAATACAGCCCCCTTCACCCCTACTTCTGCAGGTGTGCCCCAGAGAGCCTACGCCTGGGAGCATTCTCCTCTGCCTCGGACGTGTGGATGTTTGGGGTGACGCTGTGGGAGATGTTCTCCGGGGGTGAGGAGCCCTGGGCTGGGGTCCCTGCCTACCTCATCCTGCAGCGGCTGGAGAAGGACAGAGCCCGGTTGCCCAGGCCGCCCCTCTGCTCCAAGGCCCTCTATGCCCTCGCCTTGCGCTGCTGGGCCCCCCACCCTGCCGACCGACCTAGCTTTTCCTACCTGGAGGAGCTACTTCAAGAGGTAGGGGCTCTCCCCTCCCCAGATATGAATCATCTCTCCTCCCTCCGTGCACAAGACTAATACATACACCCCTGCAGGCCCTGGGGCTCAGCTCTGAGCAACACAGATTGGGTCCCTCACTGCAGGGAGCTCAGGGTCCTGGGAAGGCAGTGAGGACCTGCATTGGAGTCTGTGTCTGAGCAGGAGAACGGGCACAGAGCAGAGAGCAGTCAGTTACCATGTGTGACAGCGAAGCCGGGTTCAGAGTGGAAGGGAAAACAGAAGTAATGACGGTGCAGAGATGGGTGGGGCTATTGGGGAGAGTCTTATTTTTTTCCTAATGATATTTAGATAAAGGATTTTTCTCACTTTTATTTATTATTTTCTTTAATTCCAGAGGATGTGCTTGTTTGCCAGAGAAAGACAGGGAGAGAGAGAACCCTGGGAAATGGCACGGTCACACTGTTCCCCCTTCTCCTCCCTTTCTCCATCCCATTGGAATTTTGGCCACACAACCACATGTGCCCTGGCATTTATTTATTTATTTATTCATTCATTCATCATTTCTTTTCAGTTTTTGCCATAGAGTGCATGCACTTACCAGAGACAGACACAGAGGGAGAGAAAATGAACCCCCCCCGCCCCAGGAGGGATGGCCACACTGCAATAGCCACCATGCCACCTGCTGGCCCCATGTGTCCAACATTCTTTTTTATATATATAACTTTTATCTATTATTATTACTTTTTAATTTGACTAGAGAGAGAGAGAAAGAGAAAAAGCAAACCACCAGGTTTGGGACCTGAACCTCTGTCGGCCATTTGGGAGTCCAGCACATTAACCACTGTGCCACCTGCTGACCCCACTCCCAGCATTTGTTAAGCTGCTGGCTTTGGACTTAAACTGTGGTCAGCTATTTGGGATTCAGCTCTCTTAGCCACCAGGCTATAGGCTGGCCTTCACTTTTAAAATGTATTTCCTTTTTAATTTTTGTATTACCAGAGGGCACATGCACTTGCTAGAAAGAGAGGAAAAACAATCCCCCAGTGGGATATAATCATATGGCAATCCTTTTTCCTCTGTTCCATTAGGATTTTAGGTATACATGCACACATGCCCAGCATGTATTTTTCAACTAGCAGGGACTGGGATTTGAACTGCAGTTGGCCATGTGGGTTCCAGCTCCCAATGCACAGCACTTAAATGCTGCACCACAGAGCTGCCCAAGGGGAGAGTTTTGTAAGTCTTATTTATTTTTTGGAGAGATTTTTGCTGTAGGGCGTGTGCGCTCAACAGAAAGACAGAGAGAGGCAGAGAAATAGAAAGCGAGAAATCACCCCCCAGGGGGGATGGTCACGCCGCAATCCCTTCTCCATTCTCCTCTCGGGATCTTGGGCACGCACGCACACGCGACCGGCGTGATTTAAGCCACCAGGTCTGGGACTCGAACTGTGGTCAACTCCATGGGAGTCCAGCGACATAGCCATTACACCAACTGCAGGTCCCATGTTTTGTAAGTCTTATTAAAGCGAGGCTAGCCACCGCATGGAACCCTTGAGGTGTGTGAGATACTATACCAAGTGCTTCACATGTATCTGTACCAAATTCCCTCATTTAGTGCGCTCAACCACCAGATCGGGCCACGGGGCAGTTAAGGCGCTGACAGTTTGAGCGACTTACCTACAGTCACACAAATACGTGGAAGGGTGTGCAGCTTTGAGCCAGTCCACCTGCCTTCGGAGCGGTTCCCTGAGGCACTCACTAGTCTGCTGTCCGAGCAGTTTAGCCTTTACTCTGAGGGCACCTGGGAGCTTCGGAAGGGTTTGAGCAGGGGTTTCCAGCCACCTTTACGTACTGTATGACCTGGCCTGGTGCACAGATGGATTTGAGGGACAGTACTAACGAGAGTGAAGCAGAAGTGAGACGAGGACGTCTGGATTCGGGTTGAGACGGTGGGGCTGAGAAGGAGTAGACATTTCCCGGAGGAGGCAGATGGGATGGGGCCGAGTGTGGACTACAAGTATACGGGATGGCTCCCCCTTGGTCTCCCTAGGTAGAGACAGGACTTCCTTTGTTCCTCCCTGAACCCTGGGCTGTGTCCAGCTTGGCAAGGGAAACAGCTCTGTCTCTCCCAACTAGGGGACAGGGACAGTCCCATGCTGGGCCCTGCACAGAGGACATACCTGGCACAAGTTTGATTGGGGGGAACAACAGGGGAGTCTTTCCTGTTCCCCTATCACCTTTCTGACTCCAGCCACAAGCTCAGCCACCCTTTTCTCTGTCTCCACAGGCCTGGCCTTCTGAGGGACGCTGTGTAAGGGATGTCACAGAGCCAGGTGCCCTTAGAATGGAGCCTGGAGACCCCATCACTGTCATCGAGGGCAGGTGACAGCTCACGCCTCCCGAGCATCCCCAGGGAGGCTTCCTTCCCAACCTTCCTGACCCATCTCCTCTCTGCCTTTCCCCAACTCCTCGAACCCTGACCTTCTGTCTTTCCTCCTGTCCCTGCTGAGCCCTAAGAGCTCCAGCATTGTCCTGGCCTCCCTGCTGGAGCCTCCACTGCCCCTAGGGCCGTTTTGTGTTTAGAGGAAAAAGCTTCCTTCCTGCCGAGGCAGCTCTGCTGGGGGTGGGGTGCGAGCTGGGTGTGGGCGGCGCCCAGCCCCTACCTCCCTTTGCTCCGGTCCCCTTCACGGGCTCCTCTTCCCACAGCCCTGACTCCACAACCTGGAAGGGCCAGAATGGCCGCACCTTCAAAGTGGGGAGCTTCCCAGCCTCAGCAGTGACACTGGCAGACTCAGGGGGCTCACCGGCTACTTGTCCAGGCCACAGAGGCTCCCCTGCACGGGGAGAACGGCACCGGGGAAGCATAGACGGGTGAGGAGCTGAGAGGTTGGGGGACAGAGTGGGACTGGGGGACCAACCAAGTGCAGCGTCTCTGGGAGGGAGCTGGGGACGGAACTAGGATGACACTGGATTTGCTGTCAGGTTGGAGACACTGTGTCTCCTGGGTGCCCCAGACAGTGACTTTGGGAGGGGACACTGACCTCTGGGGTGGGGAGCGGTGGAATGGAGAATGAAATGGCTTGTCCTCCCACAGGGACAGGGAGAAGGTAAAGCCTCGGGACCTCCCCCCAGCCCGGGGCCTGAGAAGGAATGCACCCCTACAGAAGACAAAAGGTGGGTGTGGTGGGACGGAGGGTCTCTGAGCAGATCTGCCCCGCCCCGAGTCCTGCACATGCAGCCTGTGGGCCTGGAGCTGTCCTTTAAGATCTTAGTGGTGGGGGTGTGGTAGGACGGAGGGTCTCTGAGCGGATCTGACCAGCCCTCGCGTTCTGCCCCGCCCCGAGTCCTGCACATGCAGCCTGTGGGCCTCGAGCTGTCCTTTAAGATCTTCCTGTTAGTCTCCGTGTCCCCGGACATATGGGGCCGCCTGTACGACAGGCTGTCTAGCTCCTCTGCAGATGCTTACAAAAGCGTCAGGCACAGCACGGGGGCACACAGAGCAGGAGGAAGCAGGGCCTGGCATCTTCAAGTTGTTTTTTTTTTCTCAACTGTACAGGCATTTCCAAGAGTCTGGAGTCAGTTCTGTCCATGGGCCCTCGCCCCACAGGGGGTGGTTCGAGCCCCCCTGAACTTCGACATGCCAGAGCTATGCTTCAGGGACGGCCAGGCCTGCCTCCACGCCCGCCTTTGGTCTCCAGCTCGTCTTCTCACCTCAGCCAGCTTCCCAGGGAGCGCCCTTCCTGGCCCAAAAGAGAACCCCTACACAGTCACTCCATGGGAGTACCTGGAGCCAGTAAAGCCGCAGTCCCCTCTGGAGGCCTCTTGCCCAACCCTGAATTGCAGAGGAAGATTATGGAGGTGAGGTCTCACTCAAATGGCCTGGTGTCCAGAAATGACAATAGGCTAGGGCAAAGGCTTAAGTGAGGCTTTGTCCCCCGCAGGTGGAGCTGAGTGTGCACGGAGTCACCCATCAGGAGTGCCAGGCGGCACTAAGAGCCACTGGGGGTGATGTAGTTTCTGCCATCCGGAACCTCAAGGTAAAGCCAGACCCTTCCCGGGCTCCCTCCTCTCTTGCCCCTGCCACTTGGCCGTCAGCTGCCCTCCCTCCTGCTCCCACAGGAAGACCAGCTCTTCCACCTGAGCAGCCGGTCCAGAGCTGACTGCCAACGCATCCTGGAGCATTACCAGTGGGACCTCTCAGCTGCCAGCCGCTATGTCCTGGCTCGGCCCTGAGCTCTGCTTCCTTGGGCATGGACGCCAACATGGAAAGCCCGGGCATCTCAGGACCGCTCATGTGGGATCAAGCAGAACCCAGCAAGCTCCTGACAGAGGCAGACTTTCCCATCTGGGGAGATCCCACCCTCTGTCAGCAGGTACAGGAGGAAGGAGGCCAGGGGCGGGCACTGGTGAGTGTCTCCTCCCTACTCTGCCCCTTGACCTGAGGGTGCAAACTCGGTCAGCTGGGCCACGAGGAGTCCGATTCACTCTGCCCACCACATTGCCAAGTGAGAGGAGGTGGAGGAGAAGAGCTGCCAAGCATCATAGCCAGAAGCGTCTACTCACTACAGAGAATGACCAAGTGGCCGTACTGGACCATGGGGAAGCCGTGCTGGCCCACCATCAGCTCCCACACTGGGTTCTGGACAGCCATCTTGGACGATGGACTCAGCCACGTTGACTCAGGGCACATGGCGCAGACTGCCTTGGCTTCGTCCAGGGACGTCGTGGGTATTGACATTTGCCTTTGGACTCCAGGACAGTGGGTCCTGGTAGTACGGACTGTGAGATGGGCCAGCCCCTGTCCATCTGTCGTATTTCCCTTTGTCAAACATCAACTCTTTGTTTCCACCCTTCCCCGTTACATACATGTCCCAATGTCCAAAATGTTACAAACTTTATGTGAATATAACATACAAACACGCAGCCTCCTTCCTAGGCCAAGGGAAGGAAGGGGGATTAAATAAGGCACAGGAAGCTGCAGCAAGCACCAGCTTGGGCAGGGCCCACGGGGGACAGGAAGTTGGCACTGGGACCCAGCCCTCACGGCCATTGATGGGAGGTAGAATCTCCTCCAAATGCCATGGACTGAGGCTGAACTCACTGGCCAAGCTGATGCGGGGAAGGGTGGCCACATCTGCCATCTTTGGTGCTGCTCGCCCTTCCCCACCCCAGCCCTGTCTCACGAAATGCCAGAGTCCTGGATTCCAAAAGCCGCCTCTGCCCAGGAAGGGGGTGGGAAGGAGTTGGGGGTGGGGGATGGAAAGCCAATATGCCTGTGTGTGCAGGGACAGCTGGGACAGTGGTGGGAGGCAGCAGGGGAAGGGCTCTCATACATACCCTTCTGTGGGGGCCATAGGAGAAAGGCCAGGGGAGTGGAGGAGGGTGGGGCACTAGGCCTCCAGCCTCCCAGGCACCTGTCTGTCCCCTGTAGTGTACGTGGAGGGAAGGGGTGGCCTCTAAGGAGAGGCCAGGCCAGGGCAGACGACCATCTTGAGTTCTGGTTGAGGTGATGGTCTCCTCGCCCTGAGGTGGCCTCTAACTGGTGATGGCAGAGGGCCCAGAGCCTCCTCGCTTCTCGAAGAACATGTAATCCTGAGGAGAGGCCACTGTCACCAGGAGATCCGGCTGGGCCAGCCTGGCTCAGCGATCACATCCCAGCCCTGGAACCTCAACCCCCTATCATCTGTCCCTTCCCTTCTCACTGCCAGAGACCAGGAAGAGCACAAAGCTTCAGGTTGCAGCCAAGGAGCAGCAGGAGGGGAGGGTGGGGCCGCCGACTCACAATGAGGAATGTGGCTCCCAGCAGCACAGCCTTCACCCTCACATCCAGATCCAGCGGGAACTGGAGGCCAAAGTCGTCTGCATCTGTGAGGGCTTCTCGGAGCAGGCCGCCCCATTGCTTGCTGATGCGACCCACGCTGCGGGACTCATCCTTAGTCTTCACCTGCCAGGAGGGAGGGAGGACGGGAAGGAGGAGGACGTGACCAGTCTCGCCCACCTCCAAGCTCACTGCCATAGTTGCCACATATGAACCACATAGCTCCGTGCTTAGCGACTCCTCCCAGTCTTGGGCTTTCATGTGACAACTGGGGAAACTGAGGCACCCTAGATCACACAGTGAGTACACAGCAAAAATTGGGATTCTGACTCTGCTCTGTTCTTTTTTCTTGGAGAGGTTTTTGCTCTGGCGTGCGCTCGCCAGAAAGACACATAGAGACAGAAAGCGAGAAATCATTCCCCCAGGGGGGATGGCCACGCTGCAATCCCTTCTCCATTCTCCTCTCGGGATCTTGGGCACGCACGCACACGCGCCCGGTGTGAGTTTAAGCCGCCAGATCCGGGACTCAAACTGCAGTCGACTACATGGGAGTCCAGCGACATAGCCATTACGCTAACTGCTGGTCCCTCTGCTCTGTTCTTCAAAGCCCATGTATGAAATAACTGAAAGTGGGGTGCACTGTTTAGGCTAATCCCCCTAGTGCCATGGCTGTTTGCTGGGTTAGCTCCGGCCATCATCGTCCTTGTCACCTGCAGTGGTGCAGTCTGTGCCCTGCACGCAGGGCCCGGTTGAGAGCAATGGAGCCTGCCGAAGTCCTGGCTGCACTTTGAGCCAAGGAGGCTCCTAGAAGGCGATATCTGCCCTCGGGGGCGCTTTTCTCTAATCTGCAAAGTAGGGGAAGGTCCCGCCCAGGTGGCATGCAGGCCTGAGAGGGGATTCCCAGCCTATCTGTGGGAAGCAGGGGCAGCGTAAGTAGCCTCCGAGGATGACAATTTCCACAGGCCCCACCGACGTGGGTGGTAGCTGTCCTCACTTCCTCGTCCTTTTCCTGTGCTCATTCTCCAGTGACAGGAACTGGAGTGATTTCCTTCCACATCCTTCCCTCACCTTTCTCCACCGTCCTACAGCTGGGGCAGTTCCTGCAGCCCAGTCCTAGCCTGGCCAGGGACTGTCTCAGCCCGCTTCAGGGTACAGCCCCAGATATGGGCCATTCATAATGACATAAGCGGGACTCTGGCCCCAGGACCCCCACAGTCCACACATTCCCATCCCAGTGATCTCCTTCCCAACCAGTTCCCGCCACAGAGCCTCCCTCCAGCTACCAAAGTGACTCCTTTTTCAGTTTTTGCTATAGGGTGCATGTGCTCACCAGAGAGAGACGGAGCGAGGGAAATCACCTTTGCCCCCCAGGGTGGTGGCTGCACGGCAATCCTTTCTCCTCCGTTCTCCTCCTAGGATTTTGGGCACACGTGCACATGTGTCCGGCGCAATTTTCAAGCCACTGGGTCCAGGACTCGAGTCATGTGGGATCCAGTGTCTTGGCCCCAGGTGACTTGATTTTTTAAAAAGTAACCTTAGATAGGTCACCTCATCAGAAACTTCGGGAGCCGACCGGATGGATTATATCTGCTGCTGCTTGCTTATCTGCGCAGGGAATTACCCCTTAAAGAACCAGAATCCATGAAGTGCCTTTGTCTTCTAGAAACCAAGGTACTGCAACCAGCAGATGGCATAATGGTTATGTCGTTGGACCCCCACGTAGTCAACTGTGGTTTGAGTCCTGGACTTGGTAGCTTAAGACACATGCCAGACACGTGTGCATGTGTGCCCAAAATCCCAAGAGGAGAAGGGATTGTGGCATGGCCATCCCCCCGGGGAGTGATTTCTCACTTTCTGTCTCTGTTCCTCTCTGGTCAGTGCACAAGCCCTATAGCAAAAATCTTTCTCTCTAAAAAAATAAGTAAAAAAGGGGCTGGCAGGTGGCATGGTGGTTACGGTGCTGGACTCCCGTAGTTCAAGTCCCGGACCTGGTGGCTTACTTTCTCACTTTCCCTTTTTCTTTGCCTCTGTCTTTCTCTGGTCAAATGAAAAATAAATAATAATAACAAAATAAAATAAATTTAAAAAATTAAGTAAAGAAACCAAGGTGTTTCCCAGGCCGCATTGTGTAACTCTTAGCATGAGTTCTCCGGGTTGGTGGCGGGCAAGCACTGTGAGAAGGATATCACTGAATCTCGGGTCAGAGAAGCCATCGGGACTTCTAGTTTGCAGGTTAACACAGAAAAGTAGTGCTTGCTCAGGGCCTTGGCTCACAGACTCACGCACTGCAGCTACTTGGGCCCAGCCCATGGCGGGCTTAATAATTTTTGTCCTAAGCCCAACCAAGCTGTCCTTAGGTTGGTCCTTCCAGAAAAATCTTCCCTGCCATGGGAGCCATCTAATTTCCAACTAGAGGAAAGTTGGAAATGCGGTGGAGTCGCGTTGGCTTGGACGGATGGGCAGCAGGCTTGACCTTCGCACTGCCTACCCTGCCTCATGAAGACTACCACCTTGGCTTGTGAGGGTCCTGGGAGTCTCCCCATATCCTTGATACCTCAAAGTTGGTATCTGTACCACAGCCACAGGTCCAGCAGGGCCCCACCACTCGCAGGACTGTCTGGCGGTCGGCATCCTGGATGGAGAACTTGGGGAGGAAGGGATGCCAGGTCTGTAGCACGTGGCCAATGGTGGTGCCTGGTGGAGCCTGTACTTCCATCTGGAGAGGGAGGCAGACAGGGTCACTGCCAAGCCAGGGCGCCCGGTGCAAGCTCTCACAGATTCGGGCTTTATCTACTCCACGGGTCCACTCATGAAACCTCCTACTCCCACCTGCCCATTCTCACCCAAGCCACGCCTCATCCCCGCCCGGACCCATCATCGGC